AGATTCAGAGAAACTCCTAATTAATGATGCTTCAACATGTTAAGCTAAATCTGTTTGAAGTGTTCAAGAAAAAGGCAGACAACTTTTTTGTAGAATGGATCAACTCTGATTCACACACAACCACACAAGGCGTTATTTCTTTGCACTGGCAGTTGGGTCCTTGAGTTATTTCTAACACTGTTTGTACACATAAGCCCTTTCCTGCTGACTTTGGCAAAGCCAAGTATGGAAATCCCAAGGAAACCAATTATGTCACTGAGTTGAAAGACTGGTTAGGGTTTATTGCATTCATCTTAAGAATTCTGAAGGTATAGATTTCAAAAAGAGAACACTGAACAAATCTGAAAACAGTAGACATTCAAAGACTGAATCAAATACCTGGCTGCAAATAAACATGCACTTGAGCATTTCTCCAGAATTTAGAACTCTACTGAAAAGGAGCTGAGTATTCTCTCTTAGGAACTTAATAAATTTCCGTGGGATTTACATACAGGGATGTACAATGTAATTTTATGCCCAATTGAGGGCCAAAATGTTTTATCTCTTGTATAGGTTCCCTCTAGGGATCATCTACTTCCAGTTTCCTCCACTTCCTCAAAAATTACATACAAAAGAAACAGACTTTTTGAATCTCCTTTCAAATGTGAAAAATGGATTCTACACATAAGCTTTCACACTGGGCGGGGGCGGGGGAAGCTTGCCAAATTTGGTCCCCTACCAAATACATATCAGCACGATTAAAGTTCTTGCCCATGAGTGGAAATGAAATGGATTTTTAACCCGGTTTTGATTGAGGCACCTTATTCTGTTCTGTTGCACAATGTAAAAATGTTTAGAACTTGAGTTGATCCTTCAAGATCATAAGTACATGGTTGAATAAAACGCTATATTTTCAATTAATTTACATGGGCTAACTAGCTCTAAATCTAGCCAGAATTTCTTGCCTCTGAATAATGGTTGTCTTTGAGCAACTGGATTTTCAAATTTCTTTGGTTAAAAAAAAATTTTATACTTGTTAGTTCACTTTTAAAGGACCTGTTTGGCTACCAAACACTTGGAAAATCACACAGATCGTGATTGTGGTTCAGGAAAACTCAAATAGTGACACTAGGAGAAAAGTAGGAATGGAAACAGAGCATCTTCCTTGTTTAAGTTGAGGTTAAGAACAGAAAGTAGTGATCACAATCATTAGAATAAGTGGATGAAGAGGAAGAAAATGATTATAATCAACAGTACGGGAAAAGACACTAATGAATGGGAAGAAATATGATGCCAGGTAGTGTATGTTTTTGCTGTAAGTGAAAGATTAGCCTTTCCTGGTTTCTAATTAAAAATGGCTTATCCCACCTGAAAAAAACACTTGAAGGAGGAACTTTATTCTCTTCGGCAACTTCTGGCAAAGTTTGTCATCTTTCCTCTTCACAAAATTCAGTTCAGTTCAGTTCAGTTCAGTTCAGTTGCTCAGTTGTGTCTGACTCTTTGAGACCCCATGGACTGCAGCACGCCAGGCTTCCCTGGCCATCACAAACTCCTGGAGCTTGCTCAAACTCATGTCCATCGAGTTGGATTCATAAAATTGCAGCTATCTTAATATTACCTACTACACTGTCAACTCAATTTCCTTGTCCAACATTGAGTGATGAAACAGTTGATAAATTTCTACATGTCATAAAATCACCCTGTCTTCTCATCTTTCTGACTGAATGGAACCCACTCAATTAACCTTTCTCTTAGACACTGTTGGTCAGTTTAATTTCCTTGAGTTGCCCCTCTTTCTATTTTGTTTCTACTTTTGTTAGTTTCCTTCATATCTACGTCAGGTTTTAAAGGCCATTCCAATACTGGATGTGAAGAGGGATTATTTCAAAGCCAGGGCTATCCTATTTTTGGCCCACATCCCATAGTTGCATGAGCAAGGAGGACTGCTCTTCTGGCCTGGCCTTCACTTGCTCAGTTTGCACCCTGGGTTTTGATCCTTCTCCATTTGACATGCACTTGATCTTACTGCTTTATTCCACTGTTCATTAGTGCTCCTTCTGGTCATGGTCATTTCCCTGTATTAGTCACTGTGTCCTACAATAGTAACAATCATGCTTTCTTATTACAGTATGGTTCCAAAGCACATGTCATGGTTCCGAAGCACAACATTTTTAGGCCCTGAAGAACACTTCTCAATAAATGCTTTAGTTTGACATAGAACCAATGATCTTGCAGGGCAACCTTCAAATCCAGACACAATAGGATGGTCATTAAGAGCAACCTCATGAGTGAAAAGCAAAGAGAAACCATTATGGTACCTATTTGAAATAAAAAATAAAGACAACAGAATGACTAAAAATTCATAAACACTTCGGATCTCTTTCTAAGGGGCCAACAAGGAAATGGAAACTTGCTGCACACGTGGTAGGGCACACACAGTTAATTACCTACCCAACTGGTGTCTCTCCTCTTGACAAGAAAACGTCAGTTTTGTTCAGGAGCCTCGTGAGTGTGGAACTGAGGAGAAAGTGAACTTCCTCTCCCCTTCTGGGTAAGTTCTAATTACTCTAAGCCAATCATGAAAATTACACTCTCCTGCTTGTAATTAAGTTTAGGAATGGGCATATGACACAATTCTAGCCAATAAGGAGAGGCCTATTGAGGAGATTTGGGAAGTTTTCCTCAAACCTGTAATCAATTACAAGATGAAGACTATCTGGCTTTGAATAGTTTTATGTAAGGTTGTGATGCATGGAGCCATGGCAGCTATCTTGTAACTGTGGGTTTGCAGCCTGAGGATGAAAGGCAACAGTATATGATAACACAGTGAAAATTCTGAAAATACTCTGATTCTTGATGAGGTTATTCAACCACTACATCAACTATTCTTGAACTTTCACTACCTTTGAACTTCCAGTAATGTGATTTACTAAACATTATTGCTTAATCCAGTTTTAACTGGGTTTTCTGTAAAGTTGCTGCTGTATGCACACTGACTGATATATTATCCAACAGTTATTTGGTTTAATGTTTGGTTATATTAATGAAGACATTTACTACTGAAGTTGATTTTAATCATGGTGAACCAGAGCAGTAACATAAAACATTTGTAGGGTTATTTATACTGAGATCTATGTAACTTAAACACATTTGTGATTGCATTTTGTTTATGAGTAAACGGGGCTTCTGAGGTGGTAAAAGTGGTGAAGAATTTGCCTGCCAATGCAGAAGGCACAAGAGGCATGGATTTGATCCCCAGATCAGAAAGATCCCCTGGAGTATGAAATGGCAGCCCACTCCAGTATTCTTGCCTGGAAAATTCCATGGGCAGAGGTGTGCAAAGAGTTGGACATAACTGAGCACACACATATACACACACACACACACACTACAAGTAAAGTAGTTGACATTTTTGGACAAAAAGAAAAACGAAGCAAAACTGTGTGGAAATAACAATGTTTTCCAAGACAGATTTTTTAGAAATATAAAAATTGGCTAGTGAAAAATTAATCTTAAGCTAAGTATATCATACCAGTGTACAAAGCAATGGCAAATTGGAATTCAGACAATATGGATTGAAAATGTATGTATTTGAATATATCACTGGGGACTCATTATTGTTAAGGCATTTCTGAAATTTCAGTTGAACTCTGATCTCTTGTTCCAAACACTTGCAGTTCATGGGGTTGCAAGGAGCCTAACACACCTTAGCAACTAAACAAAAACATAATTTAAATATTCTTAGCCACCCTCTCAAGTTGATTATGCATTAGTAAGGTGGAATATATTTTGACATAATTTTAGACATTGCAATGCTCTCTATTTAGGATTGATTTTATTTTTTAAATGCTCAAATGTTTGGAGCAAGAGATCCAGGTTTGACTGAAATTTCAGAAACACCTTAACAATAATGATTCCCCAGTGATATATTCAAATACATACATTTTCAATCCTTGTTGTCTGAAACATGTATTAAATTGTGTATTTATACAAGAATATAAAAATTAATGGCATGCCTCAGTAATTATTAATTCTTGGATTTTCCTCACAGAGAATCTATATTCCCAAGCCAAAAAAACTTTGAATTAGCAACATTAAATAAAAGTTCTGTCCAACAAATATGAAAGGATAAGAGCAGAAACAACTACAAAAATGTATTAATATTTCAAATTAACGACAAGAAATCTTTAAGAAGTAGATTGATGAAGGGACTATACAACAAAACAAAAGTAACACTTGATCTTTGCAGGTACTTAATAGCAGAGCCTGTTAAAGAAGGTATTTTAAATTGTAGGTGGAAGAACAGGAAAACTGAAAAGCATACGTTTCACAAACAGAACAATATTCAGTGACAAATCAAAATTAATGGAATGATCTAAAACTGAGGTTTTGGTAACCTGAGAGTATTTGATTTATATATATTCAGTTCATTTAAAGTTAATATTCATGAAACAATTGATTTTCACCAAATAAACATATGGTAATTTTAAAGTGGAGCCCCAATAAACTATTATTATGGGGAAAAAATGATTTTCTTTTTCTTTTCCTTTTTTTTTGGCTTATGAGAATATTTTGTTAGATCAAATACCAGGGTGATTTTGGTACAAGACATCCTCTGCTGGACAGAGCCTGACATTACAATATTACATCATCTGTTTAGAGCTAAAGAGGCTTAGCTAACTTCTCTATTTCTTTCCTGGAGGGGAGGTAGGGGTTGAGGGGGTGGAGGGGGAAGGTATGCTTTAAAAATATCTATGTCTGAGCTACATCCCAGAATAACTAAAATCAAACTTCAGGATCTGAGTTTCATGTATTTGCAGTTTTTAAAGCTGACCAGTGATGATAAATGCTTACTGAATATTGCTGTCAAGATCTTTTTCCATCATTGAGAAAGTTACATGATTTTCAAATACAAGAACTGGTCTAAGACTGTGTGAGAGGGATATGAACTAGGGAGGTTTCATTCTAAATAAATGGAAAGAAAATGAAGTTACTGTGTATGATGATTTGGTTCAGTTTACCTTGGGCTTTTCATCCAGGATCTGCTGGCGGATTTCTTTGTGTTTCTCGACGAGTTTTTCTTGCCGTTTACTCTGTGCCTCTTCTAACTGTAAGACAGTTACAGAGAAAGTCATTTTCATCTAAACATTCAAGTGAATGTTTTCAGGAAAAAAAAAAAACTTTTCAGATCTATGGCATGCATTTAATTATTTCACATCCTGGTCAAGAACTGTCCTTCTAAGGATAGGAGACATGTAAGTATTGAAGCTGGGTGATGTGTACACAGGGGAGTGATATGATCACTGGATTATACCATTCTCACAGTTTTGTCAATGTCTGAAAATGTCCATAATACCAATTAAAATTAATTAAAAACCTTTAGAAGTTGTCATCTACCATTGGTGACAACTAAAGTTTCTTTGGGGCTTCCCTGCTGGTTCAGTGGTAAAGAACCTGCCTGCCAATGCAGGAAATGCAGCTCTGATCCCTGATATGGGAAGATGCTCTGGAGAGGGAAATGGCAACCCATTCCAGTATCTTTGCGTGGGAAATCCCACGGACAGAGGAGCCTGGTGGGCTACAGCTCATGGGGTTGCAGAAGAGTTGGACACAACTTGGCAACTTAACAACAGCAGGAACCAAAGGTTCTTTTCAGGGAGGTCCCCTTGACATCATGTTTTTAGATTCCTGATTCTAGAAAAGATTCTTAGCATTTATCTTTAGATGAACCTTTTTATACAGAGGTTTGCATTAGACTTGCAGAAACACTGATTACAGACTGGCTGCTCTGGCAAGTTGCACAGCTGATAAAGAATTACCGGGAAGCATGGCATTTCCCTCCAGAGACTCACACAGTACTCATCAAACACGGTTTGCAAAAGAGACAGGTATTCATGAACATGACATACCCTCTTGATGTACTGCACCACCTCCTGGATGTATGACCGGATCATCTCTGTCTTTTCCCTGAAAGTGAACGACAAAGAAATCATCACACAAACTGATCCATCATCGACAAACATGGCAACCGCAGGTTTCCAGATGAAAGTTTACAGAACTCTCAACTTTCTTCTTACTGCTGCAAGGAAGATACAACATGTCAGCTCTGACAAAGGTCAGGTTCTACCCAAGGCACAAACTCTGTTTCCACTAAATGGCAGGAAGGCTGTCTGACAATATCAGAAGAGAAGATAGAGCCTTTTCCTTAGGGCCTGTGGGCACCTCAGTGTTTCACTGAAAACCCTTACAAAGTGGATCTTTGGAAAGGTTAATTTGAGGAGAAATTTCGCAGATAGGTCTTTGTACGGTTGAGCTGCTGTTATTCTGCATAGGACAATCCCGGGGTAAAAAGTGGGAGAAAAGGGTTCTTTCTACTTACTCCTCCATCTGGCTAGGTACTATGAAGTTTAAAATAAAAATGAGTGTGATACAAATGTAAGTTATAATCAACTGTGATTTATAATTCTTGGTTTCCAATTCATTGTTTAATTGCTTCAAGGATGACATGAGTTACCTATCTTGGAAACTGATGTTTGTATCCTGTGTGGGTAACTTCCAAAAGAGCACTGGAAATTCTCTTCCGTACTACCATTTTGAATTTTTAATACATTGCTATGATAGTAAGTATTTTGTCTTGCATTTATTTGCTTATCAGACCTTCATTTGCCTTCAAGAGGGCAGTGACTATGTTTTCAAATCCCTAGCCCTCCACAATTTCTAGCTTTCAATTAATTTCAATTAATTCATTAATTTCAAGCTCAATTAATGCTTGTCAATTATGGGAGCATAATTGCACCTTCCAAGCACTTCTCTTTCTTTATTCTACATGAAGAACCTACAGAACCTTCTGCCATTGCTTAGGCAGCAGTAGCAACTGGACTTAAGCCTTCTTACTGGTGCACCAAATAGATGGTGTGGACTTCCTGTTGAACGGTCACTCTGATCCCCAGAGATGGAGCTTCTCATATATAGCAGCCACTTACCTATATGTAGTAGCTACAGCAGCACCAAGGCAATATAATCATAACACTACCAAACTTTCATTGATAATTTACACATGCCAGGCACAGTGTGATAAGTTTTAAATGTACTAACTTCTAATATTTAACTTATTCAGTCCTAAGAGTTGGTCTATGAGGTCATATTGACACATGAGACTCAAATTTGGGGCTCAGGGCCACCGAGAAGCACTTGGCAGAACTGGGTATGTGTGTGTACATGCATGCTAAGTCACTTCAGTTGTGTCCAACTCTTTGAGACCTTGTGGGCTGTAGCCCATCAGGCTCCTCTGTCCGTGGGATTCTCCAGGCAAGAAGAGTGGAATGGGTTGCTATGCCTTCCTCCAGGGGATATTCCAGACCCAGGGACCAAACCTGTGTCTCACGATAACCTACCTAGCAGGTAGGTAGTACAACCTCCTGGGAAGACCAGAACTTGGTACAAACTCAGATAAATTAGGCTCCCCAGCTTGTGGTCTTTACCAGTCTCCCAAGCTACCTTTTCGTTACGATTTTAGAAATTGTTTTTAATAACCTCTTCTTATCTGAGAGAATAAAAGAAGCTGAGGGAGAAATTCTCTTACAGAATTGCCATAAAGAACCCACATTAACTTGACATTAGCATGAAATTCAGTGCACTCATCTGTGAGGCAGATTAAATCTGAATAAATATTAACTGGAGCTTCGGGCAGCAGAAAACCTATTTGATCATTCAAAAGACAGTACCTGATCACGACTGTCACAATTAAAGAAATCAAGAAATATTACCTCCTGCTAATGCTATTTATCAAACGAGTTAGATGTAAAATTCCACTGTGCAAAGACTCTTGCCATTTCCCTGAGGATTCTCACAGCACCTCTATTGTAACTGAGAGGTTACAGGGCTTTCCCCTCCACAGGGGACCTTCCTCCTCCCCAGTTCAGCCCAAGGAATTACAGAGGGTAATCCAGGGACCCCCAACCTCGGTGGCAGTATCAGAATCTCTTGTGAGCAACTTCTTGAAAACACAGATTCCAGGGCCTGTTCCGAGGCCTGTGGCCTCTACATGTTTAGGGACAGGGCCGGGGAATCAGGGTTTTCAAAGTCTCCCCAGTTGATTTTGGATTCTTTGCCAGATATAGAGGGTCTCAGTGGTCCCTCATTGTATGGCCATCTAAGTCTCTCAGCAGTGCTTCTGAATTCAGTGATATCCATGCATCTGTTTCCATGTTCTCATCTCCAACGTTCGGCCTCGTCCAGGATCATTTCTGGAGTTTGCCAGCTCCTGCTCACATTTACAGCTCCCTGCCACCCTCTTTCTCAGCAGCATCAACATCCAGGCAGTGAAGCCACTGAGGCTGAGCTCGCTCAGCCTTCCAGCTCACTCAGTTCTGAGGCTGACGTCCCTGGTGTTCAGCGCCCCCACAGCCGCCAGCACCAACCGCCCTCACGGCTCCACAGAAGCTTCCCGTGCGCTGCACACCCTGGCCTTCCTCCTCGCTCCTTCCGTGGACCATCTGCACTTGCTGCTTATTCTTCTCAGGGCTGGTTCCCACCTCCTATGCTCCCAGAACACACACATTCATCTAAACTATTCAAGCAGCCACAATTCAGCAAATACTTGTCAAATGCCTACTTAATACCCGGCATTATTCTAGAAACTCTGAGCTATGCATTGGCTTTCTAGATCCTGCTACTTGAAGTGTGGGACAGGATTCATCAGCATTGGCACTGCCAGAGAATGCAACAAAAAAATGTAAGTTCTCAGCCCCTATGACTTTGGATTAAATAAAGATCTGCATTTTAATAACATTCCCAGGAGATTCATGTGCACGTTATTGAAGACAATGGAAACAGTGTAGAAACCGTTATGGACTGAATGTTGTGTCCCTCCCAAAAACCAATAAATATATTGAAATCCAGACCCTCAGTGTAAGAGATGGGAACTTTAGGTGATTAGGAGCCTTAATGAGTGGGATTAGTGCCCATAATTATAAAGCACCCTAAGAGCTCCCATACCCCTTCCACCACATAAGGACACAGAATAAAGCTCTCTATGAACCAGGAACTAGGCTCTCTCCAAACACTAAATCTACTGGAATCTTAATGTTGGATTTCTCAGCCTTCAGAACTGTGAAAAATAAATGCTTGTTGTTTAAGCCACCCAGGCCTTAAGGCACCCTTTCAAATTCCCTCTTCTCTGTCTCAAAAGAGCTGTGAAACTTTATCTTCATTGTCTTCATTACCCCAAACAGCTTCCTCATCTCTGAGACAGGGATAATGCTTTCTTCCTTGGGTGGTCATGAAAGCTGGAGACAGACATGCAATTCCACATGCACCACGTCACAGGTTTGTGGCCTGGTTTCCTTACCCCGCCTTCCCTGAAAAAGGGGCTCCCCACACATTGCTTCCCATCTTCCCCCTCCTGCAGGAGGATCACCATTTCACTTTCTTCTCTCAAACTTTCTTCAGATTGGACACATTCTTTCTTTTTGCTTAAAAACATCTCTATTTTCTTATCCTCCAGAGCACTCAACTTTTGTTCCATCTTTGACTTTCCTTCTCTCTCTGTGCCTAAAATGGAAGACCGGCAGCTGCTTCCACAACTGTAATGTCCCACCCCACGCCCTTCACCACCACCATCTTGTTTCCACTCCAACCATTGGCATTTACCTGATTTTGTGTTAAGATTACAAAACTCTTTTGCTACTGAACTCATTGGCCAAGTCTCAGTAGTGAATTTTTTATTATTCTAGAGATCCACAAGTTATTTTAGTTCACAGTACCCTTAAGATCTCAACAATTTTTTCATGGCACCTCTAAGCCAAAGGAAACAAAGGAACAGTTCCATTTATTTATCAAAAGATTAGGTTCAAATAACTTAATAGAAGCACTTGGAACAGATTCCAATAGATGCTGCTCTGTTTCTTTTGAAAATGCAAAACATCCCACAGTTCCCTTGTGAGTTCAACATGGTATCTCATGGTGCCATGGCACACGGTTTGGGAACCACGACTTTATCTTCTTGATAGTATGTCAGCTGCCAACCACTCTCATAAGAAACTTTCTTCCCTGCATTTACAGGATCTTCAACATTTCCCACATCAGTCTTCTCTGACTCTTTTAAATGCTTCAGTACATTTCTGTGTCAACGGTCTTTGAGCATCTCTAGCTGAGGACAGCTCCCCAGCATCTCAACATCTCTCATAGAAGACAAGTCACTGTATTTTCCCATTACGTATCGTCACTCAGCTTAAAAAGTGTACATTACATTTGATTGACCCCTTGAGTGATTTCCCCATCTAGTGAGTCATGGGAATTTGTTCATTTATCTCATCATCATGGATCTCTTAGCTTTGTGTTCACAATACTCTGTGCAGATTCGCATTAATCCTGCCTGGACTTGGCAAGCATTCCCTTCTTGCCTTCAGTCTCTTCTGAATTTTTCTACTCCATATCAAATTGCATTTTCATATGTCCCAGAGCCTTTACTGGCTATCTATCCTCAAATATGTTATCTGTTGTTGTTGTTCAGTTGCTTAGTAGCATCTGACTCTTTGTGATCCCATGGACTGCAGCAGGACAGCCTTCCCTGACCTC